GTATGAAGATTAAATAATAAAGTCATTTGAATTCAGGCATTAAAAAAAAAGAAAGTACAAACAATAATCAGACTAAAAGAAACTAAAAAAAAGCAGACAAAAAAGCAACAGTGAAAAAATCAGAAACATGAGAAAAAAGTAAAACGCAGAATAAATAGGAAACCGTACAGTAATAACTAAGTGCGTCCGGTTGTAATTACAAAACGAATTTTCAGAAAGAAAATATTTTCCTTACGGGAAATATAATATTTTTTTGTACTTCTTGTATAAATGCGAGGAATCGTTCGGACTATACTTGAAAAGTGTAATGATAATAATGAAAACAATAACAAAACGTAAAGTCGGCTCGGAAAAGAAAAATTTAAAATACATAACAATAACTAAAAACGTGTATTGTTAAACATATTTTTTTATGCAAACTTTTGAACAACTTCTTTTATTGTACGGATAGATATCAATGTAAAAAGAAGTTCTTCAAAAAACTAATGATCCTCATCGTAATTTGCAAAGTCTTGTGGTCAGATATATAAAGATTATAAAGGACTTGTCATTAATATGCCGTTACTGTAAAGACAATGACCCGATTACAAACCGTAATAGCAAAATCGATGTCAATATTAAACAATAGCATAAGTGATGCCGGAAGTACAAGTATCAAGGTTAGGTATAATGAAAGTGTATCTTAATTTGGTATTCCAATTTGCAATGCCTGCAATGTGCCCAGCAATGTGTTACCTGGACAGGTAATAAACTACTTTCCTATAAGATGTGAATTTACCTTTTACAATATGTAAGACAATTTCTGATGTTACGTTAATCACGATAAATTGCATAATATATTTAAAGCGCCTGCATTACAATAATGCATCCTACATTTGTATTGTACATTTAAATGTAAAGCATAGATCCATAATACATCCAGTGTTGTCTGACATTATCTTATTAGAATAGCAGCTGAAGGAAAGCTTCAGCTATATCTATAATATGAAATCACAATTTAATCGAATAAAGAATATAAGTCTTTCACAATAGGAGAATGCTCTTTTGTTATATTATAATTTATAATAGAACGGAATATTTTATTTAACACCAATAACATTGAATTTTTGGTTCCTATCATTAGGATACTTTTTTTAGATTTCAGCCACTAAAAGCAACTGTTTCTTTTCTTTTTTTTTTTTTTTTTTTTGACAATTTCCACTACTTTAAATTCGCTATTACCAGAAATCAAAAAACTTCTCAAAAATTATAGTCTCAAATTCTTTAAATTTAAAACGATTCAATTATTTTCAACAAATATTCGAAATTCTATTTTCAATATCTAGTATTTTCATCAAATTTCGCAAAATAATTCAATTTAAAAAAGAAATGATAAAATTCATCCAAAATTCAATTATTTTCATAAATAATAAAATTTCCACGCAGGAATTCAATATAATAGAATTTTCAAAAAAATTTCGAAAAAATCAATTATTAAACAAAATTGTTATACAATTATTCATAATAATTCAAATACTTTACCTAATAATAACATTTTTCATGGAAATTCAATTATTTAAAAAAATTGTTAATAAAATTTTAAAGCAAGAATTCAATTATTCTTATAAATAATAAAACTCATCGAAGAATTTCAATAATTTTTAATACAATTTTATAGGAATTTCTCGAGAAATGTAATTATTCTTAAAAATTTTATTTCAATTCCTCGAAAAAATAAATTATTTAAAAAAAAAGTTTTTTTAAAATTATTTGTAAAAATTCAATTATTTACAAAAATATTAGAATTTTTCACAGGAATGCAATTATTTTCAAATATTTTAATTTACTTATTTATTTAAGTAGTAAACGGGCAACAATTAAATAAAATTGTTTAAAAGAAATCAATTATTTTATATACAATTTTAATTAAATTTTGTTGTAATAATTCAATTATTTCTTTAGATTTTAATAAAATTCTTCCCAAGAATTCAATTATGTCGATAAATAACAAAATTATTAACGAAAATTCAATTATTTTGAGGGATTTTAATAAAATTGTTTGCAAAATTCAATTATTTTTATAAACAACAATGATTAATCACAAGAATTCAATTATTTTTAAAAATAATAAATTTTTTTCTGTCAATTCAATTCTTTTCATAAATAATAAAATTCTTCTCAGGAATTCAATTATTTTCATAAATAATAAAATTCTTCTCAGGAATTCAATTATTTTTGAAAAGTTTAATAAAATTCATCGCAGGATTTCAATTATTATTTTTAATACAATTTTACAGGAATTTCTCGAGAAGGAGAAATGTAATTATTCTTAAAAATTTAATTTTAATTCCAAAAGAAATTAATTATTTAAAAAAATGATTTTTTAAAATTCTTTGAAAGAATTCATTTCTTTACAAAAATATTAGAATTTTCCACAGAAATTCAATTATTACAAATACTTTAATAAAATTGTTCGAAAGAAATCAATTATTTTAAAAACAATTTTAATTAAATTTTTTTGAAATACATAATTCAATTATTCTTTTAGATTTTAATAAAATTCTTCCCAAGAATTCAATTATTTACATAAATAATTCTTCGAGTAAATTCAATTATTAAAGATAAATATAACAAAATTATTTCCGAAAATTCAATTATTTTGAGGCATTCTAATTAAATTCATTGCAAAATTCAATTATTTTCATAAATAACAATATTCATCACAAAAATTCAATTATTTTTAAAAGTAAAAAATTTCTTCTTAGAAATTCAATTATTTTAAAAAATTATAATAAAATCGTTCGCAACAATTCAATTATTTTCCTAAATAGCAATATTCATTTCCACAATTCAATTATTTCCAAAATTAATAAAGTTTTCATGGAAATTCAATTATTTTCAAAAAATTTAATAGAATTATTTGTAAAATTCAATTATTTTCAAAAAATTTAATAGAATTATTTGTAAAATTCAATTATTTTCAAAAAATTTTCGCAATTCAGTGATTTTTTGTAAAAATCTCCGTAAGAATTCAATTCTTTTTATAAATAATAAAAACTTCTCAGGAATTTAATTATTTAAATTAGAATTTTCATAAAATTAGTGGAAAGAATTGAATTATTTAAAAAATTTTATAAAATTCTTCACAAGAATTAAATTATTTTTATAAATATTTAAATTTATGCATGAGCAATAAAATCCTTTTAAGGAATTCAGTTTATTAGCAGGCCAGGATAAGAAAGAAGTAAATATTTTTGATGAAAATTAGAAAAAAGTCAGGAAAATAAAATATAGAATTCTTAAAAATTTAATGTCAATTTCTCGAAGAAATCAATTATTAAAAAAATCTTTTTTTAAAATTCCTTGAAAGAATTCAAATATTTTAATAAAATTATTCGAAAGAAATTAATTATTTGAAATACAATTTTAATTAAATTTTTTTTTAAAGCAATTCAATTATTTTAAAAACTTTGTGATAAAATTCTTCTAAAGTTTTAATGGAATTCTTCGCAGGAATTCAATATTATTTTCAAAAATGTTCATTAAATTTCTCGAAAGAATTCAATTATTTTCAAAAATTTTTATTAAATTCTTTTCACAGAAATTAAAAAATTATTTTTAATACAATTTTAAAAAAAGTTCTTAGCAACAATTTTTTGAATTAATTATACTCGAAATAATTAAATTATTTTTAAAAATTTTGATAAAATTCTTTTCACAGAAATTAAATTAGTTTTAATACAATTTTTAAAAAAATTTCTCGAAAGAATTCAATTACTTTTTTGTCAGTTTTGTAAAGTTTTAAAAAACGAGTTTTTTTGGCATCAATTTTAATTTTTCGATAGCTACTTTTTTTTAGTTTAAAAGCTACTTTTTGCTAATTTTTTAAAATTAATTATCGAGTACAAAGTCTGCCATCGTTCATTTTTTTTTTATAACAAAAGTTTGTTAAAAGTGGAGTGATAATGAGTTCAACATAACTGTATATATTTCCTTTTTGAACAATTTGAAATTTTCGTCTGATGATAATCATAGGCCGGAAACAATGTCGGTCATCGACTCATCGGTTTTCAGAAAAATTACCTATATTAAAAATAAATTTTTCTAAATAAAATAATGCCGTTCAAAATAAAAATAATATCTTCTTAAGCAAAAATGTCCTTCGAAATAAAAATAATTTCTTCCTAAACAAAAATGTGCGAAATAAAAATAATATTTTTCTGAATAAAAACGTAAAATGACTTTACTTTATATTTAAGAAACTATTATTTCTCATCTCCAATAAGAGGAGAGAGAGAGAAAGAGACGACTATCCAGATGATATTCACAACCATGAAAAATTATTTGCTGATAACAGAAAGTATTTTGCGGTTACAGCGGTTTTTTCCTGAAACTGGAAACTGATCACAGAAGGAGAAAAAAAAGTTTTGTAAAAGCACAAAGTTAAATGCGACATCGTGAGAAAATAACAAAACCGGTTTTCATCTTTCTCACAGTCGTGTTTAGTAAGCATACAATTAAAGCTACTACTCCCGAGACTCTTATTTTCTGGAGTCAATTCTTCAAAGTCACTTGCTCGTAAATCTTTCTGCAATAAATTGTAACTTTCTTTCCTTAAGTGGAACACGTCAATGAATTATGCCAATGTAAACGAACAGTTTATTTAGCATACAGTATCGAAAAACAAAACACTGCTTTGCTTTTCTTTTCTTTCAGGAAACATTCATAAATTGTCATTTTTTTTAAATTATGCGTAGGAGTCCAACATATTGTCAAAAAAAGGAAATTCTCTTTTGTAAAAGTATTATTAAATCTCTTTATTAGACAATACTTAATTGTAAGAGTATATTTTTAAGTAAAAATATAAAAATATACTTAGTTTACTTTAGTTTTTCATTTTTTTTTTTTTCGATTTTTCCCGTTTTTGATGATCAACCATTCTTGCGTAACATGGTTTAACATAATTTTTTTTAGAAATATTTTAGAAATGGAAAAGATAAAAAAAAGAAATAAAAGTCATGTTTAGAAATATTTATAAACCGACGATTTTATTTGTTCCGACAAATTTTTAATACTTCCTATAAATATAGATCACATAATTCATGAAACTAGAAGAAAATCTCTTCTTAGCAGATTTTTCTTTCTCACAAAAATTGTTAATACGAAACTGAATTTCTCAACTGTTCCAATTTTTCAACCCAAACAACATCAATGTCCAATGTTGCGGTGAACGTTATAGGACAAACCTCTTTCGATTTTCCATCGACATCGAAATAAAATTCCTTCACATTATAAATATTGCTCCAATCTTCAAATCTTATTTTTTTAATATGCTCCCAAAGATAGTCGTACTTTCTACGACGATTCGATATATTCCAAAAATCGTGAAAAATCTCTTCCCTCTGCCTATGCGTGATACTTTTACACTCATAATCACAATCGTTACAACCTTTTCTCACTTTTCGTCCTGGTACAGTTGTACCCTTAGTGGTCACATAAGGTAATCCTGCTTCAAATGCCACTCCATTGTCGACTTTTGCCTTTGAAATATCCCTCCCCTCTAGTGAATTCAAACACATTGTGTGATTTTTCGTAACATTTTCCAAATTTCTCCCAAAATAATTCAAAACATTGTGAATCCATTCGATTTTAATGCCTAAAATTGCTAAAAATGTCTCTTGACACACCATGATGCGATTTTCTTGAACTTCGAGGAAAAAATTTAAATTCATTGTTATTACTTCTGTTACTACTTCATTCTTAACTGATTTTGAAATCATAAATGGCACCACGTCAACGTTTCTTGAGAGGAATTCAAATTTATGATAACGACTTCCAATGTTCCAGAAATAATTGAAAATATGATCCTTGTGATCGTTGATGAAGTAGCATTTGTTTTTGCAATTGTTATTGCAAAATTTACCCTTCAACTTACGGGAGAGGGGGAATTTTATTCTATCATTCACGTAAATTTGAGTTTTAACACTTGATTTATTTCCTATTTCTTCTTCGTCTTCTGAATTGATTTCTATTATTTCTTCATCTGATAACCTGTCTATGGAATCTAATGTTTCTGCTAGTTCTTCTGAATCAATTTTATGTTCATTTTTATTTACTTTCTCGCCCTTTGAATCTATTTCTATTATCTCGTCTTCTGACATTACTTCTTCTTTTACTTCTGCTTCTTCTATTTCTTCTTCTTCTTCGGTATTCAAATTTTCCACGAGATTAAATTCTGACGATTCGTTTACTTCCAGTTTAACTAATTCCGATTTTATTGGTAATAATTCGCCTGTTTGTGTTTCTATCCTTTCTTCATCTTCCTTTTTTATTTCCATTGGCTGCAATATATCAAATATTGAATTCGCTTCTACACTTTCGTCATCTTCCGGTTCAACCGAATCTTCGATGCTGAAAAAATGCATTCAGGATAAAAAAAATCTACTATTTTTCTATATTTTATAACTAGGTATTGATTTTTAATACAATTTTAATAAAATTTCTCGAAAGAATTCAATTATTTTTAAAAATTTTGATAAAATTCTTATCACAGCAATTAAATTATTTTTAAAAATTTTGATCAAATTCTGTTCACAGAAATTGAAATATTTTTAATACAATCTTAAAAAATCCAAGGAAGGAAATTTTAGAAATTTATAATGAAGTTCTTCCAAAGAATTCAATTATTCTCAAAAATTTTGATAAAATTTCTCGAAAGAATTGGATTATTTTTTAAAATTTTGATAAAATTCTTTTTACAGTAATTGAATTATTTTAAATTTACATTTTATTACAATTTGAATAAAATTTCTCGAAAGAATTAAATTATTTTTAGAAATTTATAATGAAATTCTTCCAAAGTATTCAAGAATTTTTAAGAATTTTTATAAAATTCTTCGCAGAAATTCAATTATTTTCAAAAAATTTGATAAAATTCTTATCAGAAATTGAATTATTTTGAATACAATTGTAATAAAATTCTTTGATAGAATTTAATTATTTTCAAAAATGTTGACAAATTTTTCTCAGAAATTGAATTCTCTTTAATACAATTTTTATAAAATTTCTCGAAAGAATTCAATTATTTTAAAAAATGTTGATAAAATTTTTTTCAAAGAAATTGAATTAGTATTAGCACAATTTTAAAAAAATTTCTTAAAAGAATTCAATCACTTTTTGAAAATTTATAATGAAATTTTTCAAAAGAATTCAATTATTTTCAAAAATTTTGATAGGAATTCAATTATTCTCAAAAATTTTGATTAAATTCATCGAAAGAATTAAATTTTTTTTTCTTGAAATTTTGATAAAATTCCTTTTACAGTAATTGAATTATTTTTAATACAATTTTAATAAAATTTCAATTTAATTACTTTGAGAAATTTATAATGAAATACTTCCAAAGAATTAAATAATTTTCAAAAATTTTGATTAAATTTCTCAAAAGAATTCAATTATTATCAAAAATTTTGATAAAATTCTTTTCAAAATAATTGAATTAGTTTCAGCACAATTTTAAAAAATTTTTCCGAAAGAATTCAATTACTTTTTAAAAATTTATAAGAAAATTCTTCCAAATAATTCAATAAATTTCAAAAGTTTTGATACAATCTTCGCAGAAATTCAATTATTCGCTAAAATTTTTATTAAATTCCTCGAAAGAATTCAATTATTATTAAAAATTTTTATAAAATTCTTTTCACAGAAATTAAATTATTTTTAATACAATTTTAAAAAAAGTTCTTGATAGAATTCAATTATTCTCAAAAATTTTGATAAAATTTCTCGAAAGAATTCAATTATTTTTAAAAATTTTGATAAAATTCTTGTTTTGATAATGAATTATTTCTAATACAATTTTTAAAAATTATGATAAAAATCTTGTCACAGAAATTGAATTATTCTCATTACAATTTTGAAAAAATTTGTCGAAAAAATCCAATCACTTTTAGAAATTTATAATGAAATTCTTCTAAAGAATTCAATAATATTTAAAAATTTTGTTAAAATTCTTCGCAGGAATTGAATTATTTCAAAAAATTTTTGATTTAATTTCTCAAAAGAATTCAATTGTTTTAAAAAATTTTTGATAAAATTCTTTTCGCAGTAATTAAATTATTTTAATACAATTCGAATAAAATTTCTCAAAAGAATTTAATTACTATTAGAAATTTGTAATAAGATTCTTCAAAAAAATTCAATTATTTTCCAGTTTTAATAAAATTTTTTATAGAAATCGAGACATCCGGAAGAAAGATAGATAAATAGATGTTTAAAAATTCATTGATTAAATAATTATTTTGTTTAGAAAAATTGAAAGAAAAGAAACTTACGAATCATTGGAAATATCAATAATTTCAGGATCGTGTGCCTCAGATTCTTTTGTTGCTGTCGACTGAGAATAAGCAATTTTTTTAACATTTCGTAAAATTAAATCCGGAGATAATGATCTCTTGAGGGTCAAATTTATTGTCTTCTTTTCAACTTCCTTTGGTGCAAGACTCAATTTATTGAGAGCTCTTTTAATCCATTTATCATCAATGTCGAATGTTGACTCGAACATTATTTGACAAACTTTATAACGTTCTTCATTAATTTCCAAAAAGTAAAATAATTGACAATTTCCCTTCAAAAAATGATCTTCTATTACTTGCACGTGCTTTGCAATATACGAGTACCGTGCCAAATCACTTTTTAACATCCAAAAATATCGAAATAAATTCCTTCTTTGCCGCTCTGAAATCTGCCGACATCTATGATGATGAAACGCATCACACGGCAAACTCATTTTTCGTTCGGTCAAATAATTTTTCTCTGCAATAGGTAATTCTCCCCTTGTTCTTCTAAAAGAAATATTTCAAATAATTAAGAATAATGAAAAATAATACTTCAATATTTATATATATATAAATATACTTACTCATTCGAACCTCTTATTTCCGAATTATTTTCCATGCCAATCATTTCAATTAATTCACCTCTAATTGATAGAGTTTCAAGGAAAAAATATCTACAAACTTCTGTCAGTATATTATCAATTTTTAAAAAATATTTCCGACATGGTTTATTTGATAATGAGAAAAATTGAATATGATTTAAAATGAATTTCCGTAAAGCAGCGATTGAATCAATTCTCCAGAATTCATTGGAAATACTAAACCATTGACTTTTTGTCATTTGACAATATAAGTAGCATTCATCGTTACAAAATAACATGCCATTACTTTGTTCGATTCGAAGTTTTGTTCGTGTTTGACAAACAATTTTGAATATCTTTGCTTTTTTCCAAAAATATGCCAATTTTTTATCATATGCACTCTCTGCTTTCTTCTGTAGGTTTACTGTAAATTTATTTTGACTTTGACTAAAAAGAAGAAAAACATATTTTTAGTGGTGTAGAAAAGAATGTATTTTTTTTCTTCACAGACCTCGGATCGACTTTAAGGCGCAAAAAAAGTCGCATTAGTAGATTAAAAATACAAAAAAGTCGAAAAAGTCATAATATCCGAGGCCTGGATTTATTTACTGATTATTTTACTTACGGTACACTTTTAGCACCTTCCATTACTCTCATCATTGCATCTTTCAACAAATCGTTACAAATTCTCAATGTATTTTGAAATCCATGTTCACAAACACTTTCCGATTCTGGTGGATTAAATTTGAGAAAAAATTCGAATGTATATGCTTGTGCTTTAAATTCAGTGATTTTAATACATTTCACTAGATATTGAATTCTTCCATTATAAGATTTTTTTTTCCATAAAGTTTGGGCAATGAGTTTTCTTTTTTCTAGTGGGTAGACACATGCGGCACATGTACCACATGGTTTTTTGAAATCTATTGAACTGGAACTACCGTCGCCTAATTTGTTGGGATCTTCACTCTCTTTTTCTTTAATTTCTTTCGAATTACTGTCTTCTTTCTCTTCTTCTTTAATTTCTTTCGAATTACTGCCTTCTTTCTCTTCTTTAATTTCTTTCGAATTGCCTTCATTATCTTCAGCCGTCTTCGTTTCACTATAAATTAAAAATAGATACAATTTTTTCAATAATGCTAATGCCCTGTGTGTTTATTTAAAATACTCACGAATTTTCAGAAGGAGAACTTTCATTATTATCCAAAATTATTGTCTCAAATTCTTTTTCTTTTGGAATTTTCGATAGAGGCTTATTTTTACCTCTCTTCTTAAAGGACATTGTTTGTAAATCTTGTTGAATTTTAACTCTATCCAAAGCATCTTGTTTTGATTGTGAAGTATTTTTATTTTCAACATTCTCTACACGATGTACTTTATTTCTGAAAAAGAGAAAATTAATTTATAGGAAAAATGTAAAATACTAAAGAATAGAAAAAAAGAACTTACCTTTTATCTTGAGCCATCGTTTTTACATAACCTTCACTTAAAGATTGACTTGTCGCATCATTCACGTGACGATTTAAATTCTTTAATGAAAACATAATCCATGAACGACTTATGTCCAATGTATCGATAAATGTTCTATAACAAACTTTATTCATTTTTTCATTAAATCTAAAAAAATAATTCCTACGAGTTCGTTTTTGGTTCTGGTGAATCATACAAATATGAGAGGAAATAAATTCCATTTTTTCTTTAATATCTAATGTACCCCAGAAATATTGAAAAATTTCCTTTCTAGCTTCTTGGGTGAAGTGTTTACAACTAAAATTACAGTATTTAAATACTTGACATCCAAGTCTTAGAACACGATCCGCTGGATCGCCATAGACAAAATCGTAAAAATTTTTCATTATTTTCCTTCTTACCCGAGGTTCCTCGGGATTATTTACATCATTTTCATTTTGATCACAATTATTATCAACTAGAAAATCTGTGTCTCCTTCTTCTTCGTCTTCATCCTCCTCTTCTTCTTCTTCTAATCCTTCTTCTTCTTCTTCTTCTTCTTCTTCTTCTTCTAATGTTAAATCTAGTTCTTCTTTAATAAGACAATTGTTTACCACAAGTGCGTTATCCATTTTTACTAAAAAAAACAAAGAAGTAAAAAAAATTGTTGAAAAAGATTATTGAGACTTCGTATAGTTTTCTAAGTAATCCTCAAAGACAAAAGTCATCACTTTATATTAAAATGACAACTGACAAGTTTATTACTATCAGATAAGTGACAAACTTTTATAAAAAAAACAAGTGTCAAAAAATTGTTCAACCTAACCTTAAAAAGAATTAGAATTAAAATGTTACCTTATGAAATTCACATTTAAATATAAGTTTCTATTTTAATGAATCCGATTTTTGTTTTTACACTTTTTTAAATGTATGTTCTTAATTGTTACATATAATAGTTACAATTTCTGAAATTTATTACAATTATACAATGGTAAAATTTTAGTTTCAACACGTATAGTTTGACCTGAGAGACTGAGACTCTTCTCTTCCTGTCTCGGACACCACGGTCGATACAAACGAGAAATATTAGTTTGACTTCTAGTCGTGTGCGGCGTTAGTTGTAATTACCAAACCAACGGATAATGATTTATTCAAAGAAATAAAAGAATTTAGATTTTACGATTTAGTTCTCAAAAGAAAACACCTTTGTTGATGATTCTTCTTCAGTGTCTGAAACAAAGAAAAAAAGCGTTAATTACAGTTTACAGGTATTTTCATTTCTTTTTTGACTTTTTTGTTACTACGTTCTCTTGGTTCTGAGTTTCTGCCAAACAATCTGCTGTTAACTTCAAGTTATATAAAGGTAAACAAATCTCTGACGACACTGTGACAAATCGACTTTGTGATTTTGTAGACACTACACTTCATTTCTAATTTTAAAATAACTATAATTCTACATTAAACGTAAAATGTAAATCATTTCTCCGAAAGAGACGAAGAAGAAACCAATTTTTTGTACAGTAATGTTTAAAATTATTTCAAATTATTAACGGTTAATTATTCAAAAGGTTTGACTATTAAAAAAATTTGTTATTTTTTTTAGCAAAAAGAAAAAAAATGACTACGCCCGCAGGAATTTTGCACAATTTGATGCAGAAAAAATTTTTAAAAATTCTTGAATACGAACTAATTTTTGATGGTTCATCATTAAAACAGAATGTTAGTTTTACATACCAGGTCACTTGCGATGGATTTGTTAAAACAGGATCGGGATTTTCGAAGAAAGAAGCTAAACAAAATGCTGCGAAAGCAATTTTAGATGAGATGTTTCCAAAGGCGGACACCACGTCCAATTTACAGGAAAAATCTATTAATTCTCATCAAGAATCTCCGAGTTCTTCAGATATTCCTCCGCAGATTCAGTCTAATGATGACTTTCATCCTCAATTTTCCATTGATGAACCGCTTAAAATAGAACCGCCTCCAAAAATTGAGCCAATTGTCTCAATTTTGCCGAAAGTGGAACCAGATTCTTCTCTGAATATCCCCAAAGCTTTGGAGGTTGACAATTTTTTTTTATTATTATTATTCGCTAAGGTTATTATAAATAAAACTTTGAGGTTAACGATCACTTCGAGTGCTTTGAGTCAAAATGACTCGAAGTGATCGTTAACCTCAAAGTTTTATTTATTATTTTCTACTTTATTACAAAAAAAGAAGTTACAAATTTTTTTCCTTTTTCTAGAATGCTTGCACTTTGAATAATCTTGCGATTCCTGAGTACAATATTGAAAAATTATCTGGAACGTCAAATTTTCGAGTTGAATGTGTCGTATCGTCGTTTAAAGAAACAGCAACAGCAACAACTTTAGAAATTGCTAAACAGGAGGCTGCGAGAAAAGCTTGGGCTAAATTACAAATTGAATTTCAAAAAGATCAATGTATAAAAAAAGAAGAGAAGAGTTTTGATGAACTAATACGTTCGTCAGAAAATTTATTACAATCCTACACGAGTGAAAATGAATCCAAAGAAAATTATTATAAAAGAAAAAGAAGATTCTCAGAAGAGAGAGCAACATCCAGTGTAAAGAAGGAGAAACATTCAGACGAAGTCATAGAAATTTTCGATTATGACGAAAAATTGCCAAAAAGGAAAAGAATATTGGAAGTTAAGAAAGAGAATAAAAATATAATCTTGACGAAAACTGTCCGCGAGAAGCCCAGCGATATTCCGATTTTAAATACAGTTGAAGTGCTAAACGTAAGTTTTTATTTTCTAAGTCAACAATTAAATTATTTTGATAAATAATACAATTTTTCTCAGGAATTCAATTATTTTCAATACAATTTTAATAAAATTCTTCGCGAGAATTCAATTATTTTCATAAATAAAAAAATTCTTCTCAGGAATTCAATTATTCTCTTCAAATTTTTTAACAAGATTCTTTTCAAGTATTTAATGTTTTTCAAGACATTAATTTTAAAATTGAAAATATTTAAAAAGAAAAATTATAAAAAAAGTTAGGAAACAAAAAGGCAATCAACAATTAACAATTAAATTATTTTTTAGCAAATGTGCACCGATATTAATTTACAAAAACCAAAATACGAATACAAAATTGTTGATCCAAAATTGGCGGAATTTCTCACTGTGACATGCACCATCTCCACATTTAAAGTATCGGCGTACGCTAAAACAAAAAGTGAAGCTAATCAAGAGGTCGCTAAGAGAATGATTGAAAAAATTCAAAGAGCTGTTCGAAAATTGCAAACTTCGGAAAAATTCGATTTACAAAGTGAGGAAGCACAATTTTTCGTCAATGGCACTGTTATATCAATGTTAGAAAAATTATCCCAACAAAATAATTCAGCGTCGTCATCAAAATCAAGAAGAATGGAAAATAATTTTGAGCAGAGAAAAGTGAAATCAAAAAATCCCATTCAAATGCTAAAAGTCAGTAACATTTTTATTAATTTTAATTTTTTATAATTATTTTACTTTTTATTTTTATAAAATACTGATTATTTCACACTTTTCTCAGGAGTTATGTAAAAGTAACAATATTAAGAAACCACAATTTGAAACAATCGAGGAAAATCTTTTCTACTCTGATAAATATAAAGTTGCTTGTATTGTCTCAACATTTAAGGAGGAAAGTGAAGGAACTTGTTTTGAAGAGGCAAAAATAAAGTCAGCGCAAAAAATGTTGGAGAGATTAACAAAAATGCAAAATTCTTATCTAGAGCAATTAATAGAGTCGGTGAAGAATCTCGATTATAAAAATCCATCGCGTTGGAAAACTAAAAATTAACAAACAAAAATGATTTTTTGTGATCTTGATTCGTTATTTATTTCTATCTAAACTTCAAATTTCTTAGACATCAAAGATTTTCCACTTTATTTAAAATATTATTTATAATGAAATATTCTTTCAGTTTCATATTGAAAATTATCTAATTAGTAATAATTAATTAATAATGAAAGTACTGAAGAAGTCTTCAAAGAAGTTATACAAACTTGAAGATAAATATTCAAAATATTAGAAGTTGAATAAAAAATAAATGTGTTTAAAATGTTTTAATGAATGTTGAAAATTATAATAAATTTTTTTGATAAAATTCCAAAAAAATTTGTGATTATTTTACAAGATTATTATTTATATTATTATTTATTATTTATATTATTTTGTTACATTTTTATTGCATTTTTGTTATTTTGTTCTCTTATAATTTTAAATATAAGAGCGAGTTTTATTGCACAAGCGCAGTTTCGTCGAGGGTCTCAGTGGTTCTCACTACCAATCATGACCATATTATTTTACCAACCGTTCCATTATGGTTGACAACCATTGACAGCCTTTCTTCGCGAAGATTGAGAAGTAAACACGTGCTTAAAAACAGAAAACAGACAAAATATTCTAATTTACTAACAATTTTTGGATAAGCTCTTAAACAGCTTAATTTATTGAGAAGCTAAAGAAGGTAAATATTTTAAGTCCATAACGAAATATTTATTTTTTAAAGATTAAATGCCATCGAGTCAATTGAATGCCATTTGTAACATTCGTCTTTGTACAGAAAAGTGGGGTTATGTCCAGCGATATAAATTATAAAAAATAAAATAAATATATTTAAAAATTGTTTATTTCTTCCTCTAGGTTCAAAACAAAATTATTAACTTTATTATAAAATATTAACATTTAATTTATAATTTAAATTTAACCATAGGTTGAATTTTTAATAATTTTCTTATAAATGTTACAAAAAATTACAATTTGTTACAAAAAGTTCAAAAATTAACAAAAAAATATTCTCTCTTTCAGGAACAGTTTAAAAAATGGCAAAATCTTTGCGAAGTAAATGGAGGAGAAAATGCCGGGCAGTTAAACGAGAAAGATATGGAGCCAAGGAATTAGCAAGATTGAAAAAAACTCTTGGAATCGATGAATCCGCAACTGCCGAAGTTGATATGAAGGAAATCACAGAAATAGCCACAGGTAAAAAAAAAGAAATTTGATATTATAAGATTTACTTTACAAAACAAGAAGAAAATAAGGTTTTTAAATATAAAATAACTTAAAACTAATTATTTACTTTGGTTTTTAAAATTCTTGTCAAAATTTCAATTATTTTCAAAAAATTTCCTCAATTCAATGATTTTTAATATATCTATTATTTTAATAGAATTTTTCAAAAAATTCAATTATTTAAAAATTTTTTAATAAAATGCTTTATGAGAATTTAATTTTAAGAAACATTCAAATATAAAATAAATTATTTTTTGTATTTCAATTATTGAATTCTAGTAGAATTTTATAATAAAAAATTGATTTAAAAATTAATCTCAGTTAAAAACAAATGAATTTGAAAATTCTCAAAAAACTATTTCAAAAATTAATAAAAATAATGGATTTATAGAAAAATTTTAGTTAACACTAAAAAAAATTTAATTTTGGAGTAGTTAGAAATTATTGGGGAAATTCAATTATTTTCACAAAAATAATAAAACTCAATGCAGAATTTCAATTATTTTTAATACAATTTTAATCGGATTTCTCGGAAAATGTAATTATTCTTAAAAATTTTATTAAAAATCGTCGAAAGAATTCAATTATTTAAAAATATGTTTTTAAAATTCTTTATGAGAATTTTGAATTTTGATTTTTAAGAAACATTTAATTGTTCAATAAATTATTTATTTTTGTATTTAAATAATTGAATTCTAGTATAATTTTCTAATAAAAATTGATTTCAAAATGAATTTCAGTTAAAATTTTATAAATTGCTTCGCAATAATTTAATTATTTTCATAAATAATCAAATTTTTTACAGGGATTGAATTATTTTCATAAATTAATAAAATTCTTTTTAGGAATTCAATTATTATCATAAATAAAAAGATCCAACGCAGAATTTCAATTATTTTTAATACAATTTTAAATGAATTCCTCGAAAAGTGCAATTAAATTTTTAAAAATTTGATTAAAAATCGTCAAAAGAATTCAGTTATTTAAAAATTTGTAGATAAAATTCTTTATGAGAATTCAATTTTAAGAAACATGCAATTATTCAATAAATTGTTATTTTTGAAGTATTTAAATAATTGAATTCTAGTAGAATTTTCTCATAAACATTGATTTAAAAATTGGATTTTAGTTAAAATTTTAGATAATAATTGAATTTTAAAAACATTATTCGGCAAATTTTTAAAAATAATTGAATTTTGAAAAGGTTTCAGATTAAAATCTTTGAAAATTTGAATTTTTCATATTTTTAAATTTTAACTATCAATTCTGTGGAATTAATTTTTTTGAGAAACTTTAAATTGCGGATTTTTTAAAAAAATTATTTAAAGTTTTTATTTTTTAATATAATTTTCTATTCTAATTGAAGAATTTACGAATAATTGAAATTTTTTAAAATTTAATTGTAAACAAATGAATTTTGAAAATTTTTAAAGAACTTTTTCAAAAATTATTAAAAATAGTGGATTTATAGATATATGTTTAGTTAAAAACACGAAAAAAAATTCAATTTTGTAATGGTAACAAATTATTGCAAAAATTCAATTACAATTTTCAATATTATTCAAAAGTTATAAAATTCTTCTTAGGGTTTCAATTATTTTATTTATTTTTAATACAATTTTAATCGAATTTCTTGAAAAATGTAATTATTCTTAAAGTTTTTATTAAAATTCGTTGATAGAATTCAATTATTTGAAAATTTGTTGATAACGATTCTTTATGGGAATTAAATTTTAAGAAACATTCAATTGTTCAATAAATTGTTTATTTTTGTATTAAAATACTTGAATTCTAGTAGAATTTTCTAATAAATATTGATTTTTATTTCATAAAAATGAATTTCAGGTAAAATTTTAAATTATATTTAAATATTAAAAGCATTACAGCGTGAATTTTTAAAGGTTTCAAATTAAAATCTTGGAGAATCTTAATTTTTCATCCTTAAATTAAAAATTTTATAGAAATAAGCAAAATTTTTTAAAAATCTTTCAATTTTTTATTTTTTAATGTATATGTAATTGAAGAATTTACGAATAATTGAAATTTTGTAAAATTGAATATTGTAAATAAATGGATTCTAAAAATTGTAGAAAAACTTTTTTGAAAATTAATTGATTTAAAGAAAAATTTTAATGAAAAATTCTTAAAAATAATAATTGAATGTAAATGATAAAGATAATTTTAAAGAAGTACAATATTCTTGTAATATAAAATAATGATTCTTATCAATTTACCATTTTTAATTATTATTAAACATTTTTTCTGCTTTCCAAAACAGTTGTCGATGCCAAAACGATAAAAGAATCCTCGACACAGGAGAAAACGAACGCCGACGAGATGGAAGTAATGGACGAAGACGGCAAGCGGGTATTTAATACAAAGACAATGAGAGATCAGCATGGAAATTATCCAGTTTGGATGAGTAAGCGAAAAATTATGAAAAACAAGAAGGGAAGAGCAAAATCCAAAAAAGCAACAAGCAAACAAACGAAACGATTGTCCAGAAAGGAGAAGAAAAAATTACAATCGACAATAACTCCTCAATAATCGCTAATTCGGTAATTTTGTCTCATTATCTTTTTAAGACCCACTATTTTCTATAGTAATAAGTAATCGAGTATTATGACAACTTTTTTTTTTTTTTGTTAAAATACACGTCTTTTATTACAAACATTAATGTAAATATACCGGCGGATAAAAATACAATTTTTAATAGCTATTATTAAATATGAAGTAAATGCAAAAAAAAATGGCAGTGACATGAGTCTTTTTTTTTCTTCCATTTGGTTCATCCTCTAATTGACCGCAGTAGAATTTTATTATTTAGGATCTGCAGCGTAAACGCAATCTATTTTCCAAGTCTATAACACGATTGGATAAATGTTGTATTCTTCTTGTTTCAAATTCAAATTGCTTCAATTTACTTCTCATGTCGTATATTTCCTGTTGCATTAATTGCTGCAAAAAAGGAAAAAAATGAGAAAAATTGTCAAATTTTTATTAAAAGTAGTAATTGAAAAAATTAATTTTCATACCACATTCTCGACGGCTCGCTTTATTTCATTGATGCTTTCGACTGCCGATGATAATTTTACGTTCATATCAGTGGACTCTGTTTCTCTCTTCTTGCCTCTGGCGAATTGCTAAAAGAAAAATATTTACGTAGGTACATATTTAAAATTTCTTGTTATTTTGTGATTTTTTTGGTACCTTTTCGAGTTTAGTGAGTCGCTTCAAAATGACTTCATAATCTCGTTCATCTTCATTGTCACCAACTTCATTTTCAGTGTCTCGAAAATTCGAACGAGTTGTTGTTTCCGTTTCGAAACCATTTTCCAAGTCGTGAGCTTCAAGGGCACTTCCATCACTGTCTTTAAAAAAACGAAATCAATCGTTCATGAATGAAGAAATAAATATAACTTTACGAGAAGAAGTTGTTTTTTTTCTCCTGTTTGTAGTTTTTTTTTTATTTTTTTTTCTTCAAAATGAAGTAAATTATTTTTTCCTTTTCTTCTTACCATTTTTTCTACACGATTGCCCGTCAGTCTGCAATTGAAAGCCATAGCGGCAGTAGCACTCATATTTTCCGGGAAGATTTCTACAAAATTGAGCGCAAGGTTTCTCCGTCAAGCATTCGTCTATGTCTAGAAAAAAATACATTTATTTATGTGAACATCCTCTTTTAAAAAATTAAAATCTTTTTTTCCTAATATTGTGATGAAAAAATCAATTTTATTCCTGAAAGTTCAATTAATTCTTAATCTGAATTGTAATGACCCGGTGTGTCAACGAAAGGTTGATACTGAAGAAAGGTTGTCAACTGAAGAAAGATCATTACTTAAAATTGCGGCAGGTGGAAAAGTAGCCTCGATCGAGTCATTAGTAGTTTGCTATTTCAAATTTTTTAAATTAAATTTAGAAAGTTAGGATAAATTTAGATACTACCTATCTTATAAGTATTGCAGTCTACAAAAAGAAATCATCAAAAGCTATCGATCATCATAACAGAAAATGGAATTATTGAAAAAATCCTTTATCTTCTATTAAAATAATATTGAAAGATTTATAATTGAAGTTCATACACTTCATATCCAATCTTATTTATATTCTTATCTAACTATCAAACTGTAAATATAAATCTTGAAATTTTAATCAGTTCGATCGTAATTTGTAAATTTGATTTTTTGCGCTCAATTTACTTTTAAGTTTTTTTTTTTTTTTTTTTTTTTTTTTGCTTTCTGCGAGATCGAAATTGCAAACTGAAGATGAATATACCTAAGAATCTCAGAAGCTGATAAAGGACCACGGACCGGTAATTAGAACGTCCCGAGAGTAATGAAATCGATCGTAAATTTATCTTTTGCGTCTCTCCAACTGTCCAGAACTACAATAAGCCAATGAGAGGTCTGTTCCAGTTCACCGCGATATCCTATCGATCCACATATCGTTAATTACCGATTTAATTACGGCTAACGATCTTACATCCTATTTTAAACATTCTTTCATTATTTTCAAGTCTTTCTGAATCGCTAAAGGAAAATATGATGTATTTTTATATTTAAAACAGGTTTCTAGATTTTCATATTTTTCTATTCTCTATTTTGTTCTCTCTCTGGAATATTTCTATTTTCATAATTATAAAACTATTGTTTTTAACCTATTCTTTTGAAAATAAAAAGAAAAAAACGGAAAAGTGGAAAAGTGGTAAGAATGGAAAACAAAAGTAGAAAAAAAGAGAAAAAATAAATTACAAAAGATGAGAATAAGATAAAAATAAAAAAAATGTTAGTGTAAGTAATTATTTGGTGGGTAATTATTTTCCTCTCTCGTGTTTTGATTCAATTCTTTGGCAATAATTGTCTTATTTAATATAAGACGAAACGGAAGAGGAAATGAAGGAAGATAAGATGAATAGTTATTTGGAGGAGAATAGAGGCGTATAAATAGAGAGGAAACGATGAAACTATAAAGGAAAGATCGATGAAAAGGAAGCAATGAGAAGAGGGACACTAAACGATCAGTTGTATACTGTTAATTATTACCTGTCTGGCATTGGTTACCAGTGAATCCCTTAGGGCACGTGCAAGTCCCTGGAGATGTACAGACTCCACCGTTTTGACATGGCTCTGTGCAAGTCGCTGCATAACCAACGAATAAATAACATTTCTTATCATTAGGTATAGGTGCATTTCTTCAATACTGATTCATGTATATTATATGCAAATTTTCATTTTTTACATTTCATAAATTTTATTTAACATTTTATTCGTTTCATTCATTTACATTCTCTTTATTCATTACATTCCTTTTATTCATTTCTTTCCTATTATCCATATCATTCACTTTATAAATTTTGGTAAATTTTGATTTTTGATAAATTTTATACGACATAATTAAAAACTCTGGGTGTACTCACGTTTATTGCAACCGTAGCTCAATCTCGTAACCTGGGTCCAACCTGGACAGCAGAGAAATCCCGATGTAAAATCGGTGTAAACGAGTCTGAAAAGTTTTAACATTTTTAATTTTCAAACACTGAAAGGATACATTTTTCATTTATTACAACAAAAGCTACTTTTTTTCCATATTTAAAAAAAAAAAAATTTTTTTAATTTTCTGAGCCAATAAATCTCAAATTTTTGTACTTTTCTGGAAGACTGAGATAACTTTTTTGATTTTTGTTGTACAGAACAGTGTCAAAAGGCAATGTTGTTTGTTTTTGCTTGAAATTTAAGGAAAAGGAAAGAAAAACAAATTTCAATGAAAATTGACAAAAATACCAAAGTTTGAAATTTTCTGAGCCTATTTTTTGTACTTTTCTGGAAGACTGAGATAACTTTTTTAATTTTTGTTGTACAGAACAGTTTTTTAAAGGTAAAGTTGTTTGTTTTTGCTTGAAATTTAAGGAAAAGGAAAGAAAAACAAATTTTAATGAAAATTGACAAAAATACCAAAGTTTGAAATTTTCTGAGCCAATAAATCTCAATTTTTGTACTTTTCTGGAAGACTGAGATAACTTTTTTAATTTTTGTTGTACAAAACAGTGTTTAAAGGCAAAGTTGTTTGTTTTTGCTTGAAATTTAAGGAAAAAAAGAGAAAATCTAATTTTATTGAAAATTGACAAAAATACCAAAGTTTGAAATTTTCTGAGCCAATTTTTTGTACTTTTCTGGAATACTGAGATAACTTTTTTAATTTTTGTTGTACAGAACAGTGTCTAAAGGCAAAGTTGTTTGTTTTGGCTTGAAATTTAATGAAAAAAAGAGAAAAACTAATTTCAATGAAAATTGACAAAAATACCAAAGTTTGAAATTTTCTGAGCCTATTTTTTGTACTTTTCTGGAAGACTGAGATAACTTTTTTAATTTTTGTTGTACAGAACAGTTTTTTAAAGGCAAAGTTGTTTGTTTTTGCTTGAAATTTAAGGAAAAGGAAAGAAAAACAAATTTTAATGAAAATTGAGAAAAATACCAAAGTTTTAAATTTTCTGAGCCAATTTTTTGTACTTTTCTGGAATACTGAGATAACTTTTTTAATTTTTGTTGTACAGAAAAGTGTCTAAAGGCAAAGTTGTTTGTTTTGGCTTCAAATTTGAGGAAAAAATGAGGAAATCAAATTTTATTGAAAATTGACAAAAATACCTAAGTTTGAAATTTTTAAGGTTAATAAATTCAATTTTTTGCACTTTTTTGGAAAAGTGTCAGAATATATCTACTTTTAGCTACAAATTTTGGTAGAGCGAACAAACTGTTTTGTAACATTATTCTACATAACAAAAATTTCCATGGCTAAAGTGTTCCGTGTACAGAGCTGGGTAAAATGGTTTTTAAAACCTAATTTAGATTGGCATTTTAAATAGTTGTTTTTCCATTTGAAATGCCATTTTATATAGGTTTTAAAAACCATTTTACCGTGTATAGTAAAAAATAAATTCCCTCCGTATTAAAGAATTTAAAAAAAAATATATCCTCACCTGATTTGCCTCCCTCTGTGATGATGAGAAACGGAACTCGGCATCGTTCTGGTACAAACTCTTCTCCTGAAAAGAATAAAAAAAATTGCTTTAAGACGAGAAATAATTTTCGTACACAAGAAATGGAATATTTTTTGTTTAGAAAATATTGTAGGTAACCGAGAAGTTGTAGAAGGGTTTATTTTTTATTTTAAAAAAGAGGAATTGAAGAGGGGGAGCAAGTTATTGAAAATGAGAAAGGGCGTATCGATATTGAAGATGATGGTAGAAGTAGATAAAAAAAGAGTTAAGGAGGAGTAGTAGAAAACTGAGCAATAAGTATAAACTTAGCAAGAAATGGCATAGAAGGAAATGGGGTGTTTCACTGAATAAGAACCACTTCGTCATCGTCAGAATCATATAGAATATTGCGATTCTTCTTATGTCGCTGTCATGTTCACTGAATACAACACGACTTTAACTGTCGTGTATAACAATGAATCTCGCATTATCTAGAGTCCTTCTAGTTTTTCTCAGTCATTTTTTGAATTCTTCATTTTTTATGCTACTTTTTGTTGGATATTTTTAACTCTAAATTTTTTTTACTGATGCATCTGCAGCATTTTTTAGCATATTCGTAGCATTTTTGATATATCTTTTAAGTACCTTATTTTTTTTGGTGATACCACAGTTTTTTAAGGATTTCAAATTGAAACAAAAAACGTATCAAAATTGATACCAATTTTCATACCTTTTTTTGTCTCAATCTGATAACCTTAGAAATGCTCTGACGTGTTCTAAATGCCGCTATCTGTTTAATGATTCACATAATCAACTTTTTATCACCAACGTAAAAATCATTTTCCTTATCTAAACAAAATCTCTTAAATCCAAAAATTATAGTTGACAATCATATTAAGAATTTTTTTTATAACTTTGTATAATTTTCTTCTATGAAATATTTAATTTTATCTCTTCAGAACAAACATTTTCACTATATCTTCTTAGAGAAATGTGGGTGTATACGCTACAAATCATTTAGAATATTTTATACTTTAAATGAAAGTAGCGAAACATTTTACATAATGCAAATGTTGTGTTTATAGCTTCCCAACGTCAACCAGAAATAATATAGGAAGTGAAAAATTAACAAAATTTAAAGTGAAAAAAAAATTAAAATTTTGGATCAAAATTCGTGAAGTTAGCAACTAATTTTTAGTTGTATTTTTTATTTATTATTTCAAACAGAAAAACAAATTTCATGAAAAAATCTAGACTTACTGAAAATTAGTTGCCCACTTCCCAAAAAAATAAAAAAAAAAGTTAAAAGTCTCGTTTTCTTCTTGTAACCTCTTGAAGAAAAACGAGATTTAAAATTACTTTTTTGTAAAAGAAAAAAAGAATGGCGTTTTGACTGATTAAGAGCTGCTTCATCGCGACAGACAATTTCCTTATTAAACACAGTGTTGACTGACACCTTCCTTCAGCTTCGGAGTTCCATTCAAAATCACTGAATGGATAAGTAGATTGTAAATTTTCTACCGAGAAAAAATTATCTCTTCGCTAATTTTAGTATTTTTAAATACTAGTAGGATAAAATGTATATATTTGTTAATTTTATCTAAAAAAAAAACAGATATTTTAATGTCTCTTTGATATTTTTTCTGAAAATGATTTTTTTTAATTTTTGCAATCATGACAAAACGCCCAAGGGATTAAAATGGAAGATTGAAACCCTAGCTGCCCGTGCAGAAATTTTGACCGGGGCCATGGCACTTTGCCCGATCTGGCCGCCCTGTCGGGACCCGGTCGGGGCCATGGGATTTCCCCCGATCTTTTCGCTACCCAGGTAGAATTCCAATACTGACTGCATTTTATTATATTAAAGCTTGTTATTTGATTATTAAAGAATGGGGAGTATTTACTTCAATATTAATGATTATTATTAATATTTTTGTAGTAAATAAACTTTTATGAGTGTCATTAAAAATGTAAATAGTTATTAGAATTGCTTTTATTGGACTAAGTTTTTAAAAAAAATATTTTTCTTATTTTCTTTCATTAATTTAGACAGACTATCTTATTTAAATTAATAATTATTTATAATTATTATTATTGTTAATAATTATTTAAACCTATACTTTATGTAACATTATTAAGAATTATACACAAAACACTTAAAACTAAGACGGAAAAATATCGCACGCACGGGGGACCGAACCCTAGACCTCGAGGACGCAAGTCGAATACACATACCGCATAGCCACGCAAGCTTGAAAGCGACCTCGCTTAAACTTCCTTTTGAATCATGGGACCGTTATATACAGTGTTATCATAATAAATTGACTGTATCATATTTATTTATAGAAAAATTATTAAAAATGTATGTTATATATATATATATATATATATATATATAAATTAATATGTTTATCATAATAATATGGTAAAAATTATTAATTTAATTATTTATTCTATATTATTTATAATTTAACTATTTTTTAAAATAATAAAAATTTTTTCATTATTAATAATTCACAATAATACTAAAAATTATTAATTAATAATAATTTATTTTTTTGCCTTAAACATGGAATTTCAATTTAAGTGTGAAAAACAATTAAGAGTTTTTAAGAGTTATAAATGTCAAAAATAATATGTTAATATTATAACCACAAAAAAATTTAACATTTTAGGCAATATTTTTGGTTATCACCATGATAACATCGACAAATGGTTCACCTTCGACAATTGGTGCGTTTGTCCTATTGTTTTAAATTAAAGGAGAATAAATTCTTAAGACATCCCTCGAGGACAATTTTTGAGTTTTTAATTGTTTATAATTTTTATTTTCAAATTTCAATCAAAGTTAACAAATTAACACAATTTTTTAAAAACGGACGTTTATTTTCTTATTCCGTTACTGCACATGCTCTAAATCAGTTCAAATTAATCCAATATTACCAGCAGACAATTAAAAACCCATAAAGTAATATATTTCAATTGTCATAAACAACATTAATTAACAAATAGTTAACTTATGATCCTGTCCAACAGAAAATTTTTGTTGCAAATTTTCTTTTTTACTTAGGTTCTTTTAAAGAATATATGTCTTTTTTGCTTATAATATAACTTATTTAAATATTTAATATTATATATCCGTGGTCTTTTAACATTATCTAAATAAAAAAGTAAACGTGAAAAAAAAATTTTTGGTGGAAAGGAACAAAAATTAACTATTTGTTAATTAATATTATTTGTAACCATTTAAATAAGTTATTTTTTAAACAAAAAGGACACATATTTTTAAAATGAACTTAAATTAAAAAGTAGACGTGAAAAAAAATTTTTTTGGTGGACAGGAGCATAAGTTACATAACTATTTGTTATTTAATATATTGTTTATAACAATTTAAATAAGTTATTTTTTAATCAAAAAGGACAAATATTCTTTAAATAGACTTAAATTAAAAAGAAAATGTGAAAAAAAAATTTTTAGTGGAATAGGAATCAATGTTAACTATTTGTTAATTAATATTGTTTATAACAATTTAAATAAGTTATTTTATAATCAAAAAGGGCAAACATTCTTTAAATGAACTTAAATTAAAAAGAAAAGGTAAAAAAAACATTTTTTAGTGGAAAGAAATCAAAGTTAACTATTTGTTAATTAATATTGTTTATAACAATTGATATAAATTACTTTCTGTTTTATTAATTATATGGTGGTCATATTGTATTAATTTGAACTGATTCAGATCATATGCAGCAACGGAATAAGAAAATAAGCCTCCTTTTTTGAAAAATTGTATTAATTTGTTAACTTTGATTGAAAATAAAAATTATAAACAATTAAGAACTAAAAAATTGACCTTAAGGGATGTCTTAAGAATTTATTCGCCTTTAATTTAAAATAAAGAATACTGAAACCGGTTAAGAATTGTAGGCTGTAGACAGTTTTGAACAGTAAATTGTAAAAAAAATCCCATTGTGCGCTGTTTGTAGATCCTTGGGCAAACCCGGTCTGGTCCTGGTCGGGGCCACGAAGTCGGGGCCAGATCATGAAATCCCGACCGGGGCCAGGGCGGTAATCGGGAACAAAAGTGGCGATTTCTGCACGGGTGGTTGTAAATATGCAAATGAACAGTAATTTAACGCCATCAATTAAACTGAAAATTAAAACTACGAGAAAGGAGGACTAGAAAAAAAAAATTTATAAGAATGAGGTCATACTTATAAGGAATATAAATTCCCTCACTAGTTGGGTTAATTTCATTATTTTGGAATATTGAAAATCCTTGAATGTTGACAGAATTTATGACTCAAGAGTTGATTTTTCATCTACTGCTGCTATATGCGTGGGAAGACAATTGATAATATTTCACACATTAACCTTCGAATTTCTACGATGATAAAGAGCCCTCGGGGAAATATAAATTTCCTCTTTTATAAGCTTTTATTGACCCAAAGCAAATCAGTAAACAGCAATATATCACTTTCGTACTGAACTTACAGAACTTAGTTCTGGACTTTGAGACAAAAAAAAAAATATAAAAATATAATCATAATTCCTACAAACTAATTCTTAACGGAAAATTTTTCATTTTAAAAATAGAAAATTTAGAAAAGACTAGAAAAATTAGATCCGTTTGCAGAAAAATGATAATTTATTCTTTTGATGATGGTGAACGTGAATTTTTACAGACAAGTATTTTTAAAAAAGAAAAGAGAAGAAGAGAATTTTAAAAGAGGTGAAATTCGTTTTTTCAAGTATGATGAATATTTTTTCTTTATGTTAATTAGCATCGTGATGAAAAGAAGATGACCAAAATGGTATGTACGAGAAAAGAATGAGAGGAGGGGAGGGGGCAGGGATAAAAATAAAAAGAGGTCAATGTAATGAGGGATGCTGTGAGCTTCTTATTGGCACCGAGTAGGTGCGTAATTACTTGACTTGAACGACCAGAGCAACCCATAATCAAGTAATTTTGCAATTTGGAAATTTTGCTTTACATCAGCCGGAGGCAACCGCGTGCCCGGCAGTTGCATTCTCTCTGCGTAGGAAAACATTCCTCGAGTACCATCAA